TATAAATATTGTTGTTTCATTTGTTTGCTTATCGTTTTCGTTTACGTTTTTTTTTTTTACTTTTATTATAGTACATATCTTACACATGCCTCGGGGCACCCACCCCCTTTGGCTGCCCCCTCGTGGTCTGGGGCTGGGGTGCGGAACCCAGGGCATGCCTCTCTCTCCGTCTATAAATCATAGGAACGCGACCGATCGAAACTGGACCGATCGCCGAGAAGGAAAAACTTTAAACTGAAAATCGATTGTTTTCCCGCGTGTTTCGCGTGTTCGGGGGCGGCTCGTTTGGAATTGCGTTTTTCGTTTGCTCCTACAGCTGTTTTACATAAAATTTCGTGTAGAATTTTGACAAACGTCTGGCTCCCTTTCCGGCAACTGCAACTGTAACATTGGGCGGGGCGGGGCAGGGCAGGGCAGGGCAGTGGCAACTGATGCTGCTCGATTCTTGATTCTTGGTGGTGCCAATGGGTGCGATTCATTTTGGTTGTACTTCTGTTGACGACGGTTCTTGTGGCGCATCTTTAATCCTCGGGGGATTACAAAGATGCGACCTATTGGAAATAATAATAATATTACTGGGCTATTGTCTGGGGCCGCCCCCCATTGTGCTGGGGTGGCGCCCCAATCTTTGTCAATTTTCTCTTGTTTATTGCATCTGTTTATCGGTATCTGTTTGTTTGTTTATTTGTTTGATTGTGTGTGTTGGAGTAAACCAAAGGAGTTTTGCAGTTCATTTCGCAGTCAGTTGCATGCCCCACGAGTCCTTGTTGTTGCTGTTGTTGCTGTTGCTGTTGCTGTTGCCGTTGCTGCAGCAGCTGCCGGAGATGGAGCCAGTTTAACGCACGCAAAGTTTTGTGGCTCATTTAGTTGTTGTTCTTCGATTGATTGAGTTGCTCGTAAGAGAATTGTGAAACAAAAGGTTTTTATCACTTATTCTTGTTGCCTATGTGAAAGGCTCCGTTCCGACTGACTGACTGACTGACTGACTGACTGTCTGATGGATCTATTGCCCCCGCCACGTCAGCGTTCCATCCAGATCCCGTAGAGTCCTGCATGAGTTTGGCGAATGGTTTTTTGGATTGTGTCTCCTCTTGTGGGCTCAGGCGTAGGTTCCCTTGGGTTCAGCAGGCAGGCATCATTTCATTGGGTCCTCGTCTTCATCTTCATCTCCATCTATATCTTTCTCTTGGTTTTCTGTGCAACTTGGTTGCATACATATGTTACTATTGGCAATTTCTTGTGTGGCATGCGCGGATCTGTACGGGCTGCCTGGATGGGATTTTGACTGGGGGGTTCCACTGTCTATCAATCAATCAGTTGCTCGTGGCTCGGAGCTCTTTCGGTTGCTGTTGCTTAAATAAAAACTTAAATGTTGCTGTTGTTTGTTAATTGTTAACGTAAATATCTTGTGAACGAACTAAAAGTTTTGGCTTATTTGGCTAATTGGCTATTGTTGTTGCTGTGGCGGTTGATTGGTTTTTCATTTTCATTTGAGTATAAAAATATAAATCGTTTTGTAAAAAGTTATTGGTTGCTTATTCGTTTATTCGTTTATTTGTTGCTTTGCTTTTGTTGTTGTGTTTGTTTGTTGTTTGTTTGTTGTTTGTCTGCTGGTTGCATTGTATTGTACTATAAATTATCCTGGTGCGTGCGTGGCACGCTCTTGACTATTGCAAATGAAACTGTGGCATAAAATCTGATTCGTCTTCGTCTCTCTCTCTCTCTCTCTCTCGCTGTCTGTCTGTCAAAATTCAACTATAAACACTTATGGATTAGTTATCGGTATTTGTATTGCTTTATGTGTATATATATATTTGTTATATTCGTATTTGATCATGGGTAAATATTCAGTTATTCAGTGTAAACTTTGAACTCAGGATGGCTTAAAGACTCAACACAAACAAAATCTGTTTCTCTCTCCCCACTCTTCACTCCTGTACTACTGCACTCCCTTCCGCATTCCGCTCTCCGCCTGATCTGATCTCTCTATATGTATATATAGAGCCATTCATTCGGCTACCAATATCTCTGATATCTCTGATATGTGTAGACAATCAACCCAAAAAAAGTTGCTGCTTGCTGCTGCTGGAAGTGCTCTGTGTTGTTGTTTGCTGTTGCTGTTGTTGTTTCTATCGAATATAATTATGTATATTGTCGCTGCTAATTGGGCTTGTTGTTGTTGTTTCTGTTTCTGTTACTTATTTTCTTTTTTTTTGTTTTTGGTTTTTTTTTTTTCGTTTGTAAACTTGTGAAAAACTGTGAGAGATTAACTCAAAAATATCACATACGAGTTGTGTATGTTTCCCTGGCTATTGTTGGCTGTTAAAACTAAATTGTAATCCTGCTTCTGCTTCTGCTTCGATATCTGGTATCTGGTATCTGCTATCTGGTATCTCTATTATTTATTTGTTTTTTTATTTCTGTTATGGGGTTTTATTTGGGTTTTATGCAACTTTTACTTTATATTTTTATACTTTGTCATGTGCTTTTTTTTGTTGGTTGTTGTTGTTTTTGTTGTGGTATATATATCAATTTTTTTTAATTTGGAATTTCCGATGGCAGCTTCCGCTTGCCGTTTGCTTTGCCGAAATGCTGGGGTTACACGTCATAAGCCAAAAGTTTTAACCTCTTCTTCATAAACGTCTAAACTGAGGATGCTTAAGTTTGTTTCTTTGTTGTATTAATATATGTTTAATAATATTTTTGATTGTTGAACTTAATCCGTTTGGTGCAGACGCACAGTGCTGGCCGAAAGTGTATGGGCACCGTGCGCTGCTCTATTGCAGTTTGTTGTAACAAAAAATGGCGATACATATGTCCCCCCCACTTTAATGGATGACACTGCAGGGGACACTGCACCGCCATAAAATGTCTCTCTCTTCGTCTCTCTCTATCTCTTCTTCTCTTTAGCTTTCTGTGATTTTTCCTACGCCAAATAAGTGATAAAAATTTTACTTTCAAACATTGTTTTGATTTTGATTTTCTTTCGATTTCGGGCCAAAAGTTATTGGGAATTTTGAGAATCGCGTTTGCTACTAAAAAAACGCAATCATTTATTCATGTTTTCTTTTTCTTTAAGTTTTTTAGTTTCCGTTTTGTTTTTGTTTTTGTGTGTGTTTTTTCTTTTATACCAAAACTGCAAATTTTCGTTTGATTTTCGATTTAGTTGTTTTGCTTTAGTTGTTTCATTCTTTCGCTTGTGATCAGATGTTTTCTTAAATAAGGATGTTTAATTAACTTATTTTTTATTTATTTTGAAGTTGAAGTTACGAATAGATTTGATTTTCATTTGACTTGACTACATACATATGTGTGTGTGTATTTTCTGGAGTGTGTGTGTATTTTGGGGGGAGTCTGTTTGATATATATACCGATTGAGGGGGGTTTGGCACACTCTCTCTCTCTCTCTTGCTATATCTTTCTTTCTGAGAATCGTCCTGCGCGCATTTTGAATGCTGTAAAGCTATTGGCGAAGCCTCGCCTGGCCCTGGCCTTTGAGTAACTTCGATATGGTGTGGGGCGGGGTGGGAGGGGGTTTCTCAGAGGGATCTGCTTATGCTTAAACTGTAGTAATATTTAAGTTACGTGTATGTAGTTGTATTTAAATGTCGCTATGTACAATTCTGATCAATTTCTGTATCGGTTTTTCTCTCGTATATGCGGTAATCAGTAATCGGTAATCGGTAATTGTTTGTATTTTGTTTTTGGTTTTCTTGGTTTTTTGGTTTTCTTGGTATTTTGCTGTATTAATGCTTTTAAAATCTAGTTAAAATTGCATATGGCTGCGTCTGCATTTATATTTGGTAATTGGTTTACGTGTAGTAGGTATATACTTATCCTCGCCTTCCTTCTTTCATCTCGATCTCGATCTCGCTTCCATCTTCTGCTTCTTTTTCTGCTTCTGCTTCTGCATTTGCTGCTTCGATCATCATTCTGTCTGTCTGTCTGATCGTTTCGTTTCGTTTTTTATTTTCTTTTTCGGTTTTCGTGTAGTTTTCATTATGGTTTAAGTTTAGTTTTCTGTGCTTTGCTCTCTCTCTCTCTCTCTCGCTTTCGTTTGATCAGTGAATGATATCGATTCATTGATCTTTGATTGGGTTGATGTGCTGGATGCTTCCGCTTCCGCTTCCGGCTTGGCTCTGTCTGTGTGCGTATTCCGGTTGATCCTGCTGGATGGTGGCTGGCTGTAAGAATATTCTCTATGCTTAGGCTAACTTATGTCCTGGCCTCTGCCGTGCTTTGACTTTGATTTTGGGTCAGGTGTAAACTGTACCTGGCCGCTCCACAGGGCAGCAATTGGAAACTAGAATCGAACTTTGCTCTTGGACTATGGCTGGTCTCTGTTTGTTTTCTTGGAATTTACCAACACCGAAAGATTGCTGTGTAGAAACTAAACACTGTTTTACGGCTGTTCGAAAGACGGGGCCAAACTTTTGGTGGCTGCCCCTGTGGGGGCGTGAATGTTGCTGCTGCCCGTGTGGATATGCCAGGAGTGGTCGCTCTTTGTCGCTCTTGGTTTGTTCTCTGCTCAACAGGAAGTGATTAAAATTTAGTTGCTTACTTTTGCTTACCCTTTTCTCTCGTCTCAGCGCTCCACCGATTAGTTGTTGCAGCTTTCGCTGGGGCTGTGGTTGGTAGTAGTGTTGGTTAACGGTTAGTGATGTGTGTTGTGTAGTGGGTGGCCAATCAATTCCAATTTTGTGTCTGATCTGTGACAATTGCCGAAAGCTTCTGACGGAGGTTGGTTGGGATGGGGGGAAGTTGAACGTAAAAGTTTTTGGGGTTTCATAAATAGCCAAAGGGTTGTGGGGGGTTTTATTTTTTTTTTTTTTAATTTTGGTAAAGAAAAATCCAAGCGCCGTCATGTGGTTTTCTGTTTTCTCAATGAATTTCGCTTTTATTAACCAATTATCGTTAGAGACGCGTCTCTTGTTTTGTGTTTTTTTTTTTGTTTAAGTTTTGACTTGATTTGACTTAAGTTTAAGTATGTTTTTTGTTAATGTTAATGTTAATGTTAGTATGTATAAATGTATGAAATATGTAGGTATTGTATGTTGCATTATATATACGCAAGTATTCAATGTGTTTAAGTGTTCAAGTGTTCAAGTGTGTGTGTGTAAGTGGTACGCAAGTATGTATGTATGTATTTCGGTTCATTTCTCATTCACCTCCTACGATCCATCGATCCATCCACTTGGTTAAGGAAAGGAAAGAAAGCGATGGGCTTAAACAGATACTGATACGGATTTGGATACGGATACAAACTGAAACTCAACAGAACATTAACTCTGATTTTAATAAGCTGTTTTCTTTCTGCTCTCGATATTTCTCGTTTTCGTTTTTGGAATTTTGCTTAATTAGAAAATTTTGCCTAAAGTTTTTGGTTAGCCAAACGTTTATTGTTAATACGCCTTAAATTGCCTAAAGGGTTTTTTTGTCGCTCAATTTCGCTTCAATTTTTTCTCATTTCTCAATTAACTATTTTTACAATCAATCAATAATTTCGTATGGAGGGGGACACCCTCCATATTGGGTTTTATCCGAAACATAATTGCAGTTACTTCGATTTTTGTTTGTTTGTTAGTTAGTTAGTTAGTTAGATGTTGTTTTAGTTAGTTACTTGTTTGTTTTTTTTTTTTATCACAAAATCAGTTACAATTGTATTTAGATTTAGATCAAACTTCAACTTCATTGCCAAAAAGAAGTTGCTTCTCCATAAATTTCGTAAAGGCATTAACAATCAACGAACGATCTCCGGACTGGAATTTCGACTTCTGTCTGCTCAGATGGGGGCTTTATATGTATAAGGAAAATCAGTATAACTCAATTACTCAATGGATAAATGGATAATGCGCTGGGTTCAACTTAAACTGCAGTTCGATTAGCTTTTGTTTTGTTTTTTTTTTTTTGTACGATTCCCTAAACACTAATTTTGCAAATGCATTTTTGTTTTTGTTCATTCTACTCGTAAGTATCCAAATTTCAATTTTCAATTTTTAATTTCAATTCTAATCAATTGGAAATTCTCTCCCGTCAGACTAGGAACCTACCGTCTTATACTCGACTAATTTTGTCATAATTACGCCAAAGTGCAATCAAATTTCGCTCCGCTCCCCTTTTGCTGGAAGGGGAAACTCTTCTCTGGTTATGCCTAAAAACTTGTTTATTCGTTTTCAATTTAGTTTTAGCTAAAATTCATCTATTGTTCAATAATTTCGTATGCATGGTGTGGCCGAAAGGTTTGCTGGGTGCTCGATCTCCATCGATCTCTCTCACTTGCCTCATGGCGGTGTTCCCATCTAATCTAAACCTGCAACAGGGGGCGATAGGGCTGCGATATAGGTTGGTTTACTGACTGCTGGCTGGCTGGCTGATGACAGTCCTCGTAGCAAATATGGGGCCGAAAAGGTTACTTTTTCGCTTCTTTCGTCGTGCGTTCGTTTGAGGAATATTCTTTTGGTATTTGCTTTATGTTGAAATGTAATAACATTCGATGATTCGATGATGTAATTGATGATGTTTTGCCGCTGGTGTGGCAACAGTAAGGTTTGCTCACTCCTAGCGCCAGAAGATGAGGACTAAGAGAGAGCAAACATATCCCTCTTAACCCGCCCACTCTCCATGTTGAGTCTGCTGTGCTGCTGATGAGTGAGAGTGCATGATCGAGGACATTTATCACTGCCAGCCAGCCGGGTATAATGTGGGGATAATATAACCATACAATATTTGGAGAATAACAATAAAGAAAAAAGCATATTTTTTAATTGAATTTTTTGGTGTTTTGTGTATATTTTGTTTTTGTTGCAACTCAAGGCCAAGTAATGTAATGTAAAGTAAATTAATTCAACTAAACTTTAACTTAACTAAATTCATAAATTATGTACATAAATAACAGACTAGTGTGTGTGTGTGTGTGTGTGTGTGTGTGTGTGTGGTGTGAGTGAGTGTGGGGTGATCCATAAAAATTAAGAGGCGTGCTGAAATGGGCGCGCACTAAAGTAAAAGAATTGATTAAAAATAAACCGCACTCAAGGGATTCGTGTTAACAATTAACTTTGGTCAAGGGGTTCTCGCATAACGTAAACCATAAAATTATCAATTATCTACCCTAACGCCCGCTGTCCGCATATATCTTCTATAAATCTAAATAGTTTTTGCTTTTTCTTAACCTTTCTTTGTTTTTTTTGGTAATTTTTGTTTTCGTTTAGTTTTTCGCTTAATAGACATCGAATATATGCTTAAGGGTTAAGAATTGTGTGTGAGGGGTGAGGGGTGGGGAGGGGCCTCTTTATATTGGGGATTTCCTTTATATTCCCATACTTTCGGCGTCAGTGCAGCGCCTGCTTTTGTAAAGCAGAGCGCAAGCAGTGAACGCCGCAACTGCAGGGAAACTGCTTACCGAAGAGCGGTCTGCCAAGTAGGCCAAGCAGGCTGGCCGCTTTCGCAGAGCGCTCTTCGCTCTCAAATGAACACACACTTTGTACCGATGTGTGTGTGTAATTTGTGTGTGTGTGTGGGTGGAATGTGTGTTTGTTTGTGTGTGTGGAATGTTGTTTGTGTGTCAACTTTCGGTAGATCAATAGACGGCTCAACTATTTTGTTAAATATCTGTATACGTAAATGTTTTGTAAATATTTTCAAAAAAATTTCATCTAACAAACCAACGGCTACGGCGAGTACAGGCTTCTCAACAGTTTACACTGCCTACAAAGTACGCGCTCGGCGTGTGTGTGTGTGTGGGTGTGGCTCAGGTTTCAATTTTCACTATTTCACATTAGATTAAGACTTGCTGCTCTATGTTTTGTTTTCAGTTTTTCTGTTTTTCAGTTTTTTAGTTTTTTAGTTTTGGTTTTAGCATTGGATGCGATCGAAGCTCGCATCTTATCTTCTTCTTCATTTCTTTTATTCTCATTTCTTATTTCTTCTTCTCTTTCGCTGAGTGTATGTACTGTGTGTGTGTGTTGGTGTGTTGGTGTAGGTGTATTGGAAATTTTTTGAAAAATATTTTGCGGCTCGGGAGACTGCTTCCCAGAATTTGCTCGTGGCCTAAACGCGGTTTTGACTCGTGTAAACTTCTCAGCTGCTTCTCTAAGCTCTCTCTCTTTGCTAACTTATTCTGTGCTTGTTGTTGGTTTTTGTTTTTTTCTTTCGTTTTTGTTCGTTTTTGTTTCGTTCGGGTAGTTTGGTGGTCATATCCAGTGGTACTTCTTGCGCAGATTTAGCCTTTTAGCTTTGGTCTGCGTCTCGCCTTCGGATTGCTGCTGCCGGCCCTCGATGTTGTGGCTGTAGTTGTTGATGTTGTTGTAGATATTGTAGTATTCATAGTAGCTGGGATCGTGGTATGTGTGGTTGGTGGTGGCATTTGAATTGGCATTGCCAGGGGCATTGGCAGCGTTGTTGGCAGCGCTGGCAAAGCCAACTCCTCCACTTATTCCAGCTGCTCTAAAAAATTCGGCGACTTGAAGTACTCGGGCACGGGATCGTCCATGCGCGATATTATCTTGTATATGGACTTCTTCCACGACTGCTCGGTGTCTTTGCCACCCTGTATTGCACGGAAAAACTCCCGCAGTGTCTGTTCAACGACGAAGCGAAAGTTTTGGGGTACCTGTCGGATGGCCGAAGGACGGATTACGATTAGCAACGTTGCTCCCAGTTATGTAAGTGTATTGGTTTTAGTGTTTGGCTTTAGTTTTAGTGTGAGTGTTTGTGTGTGAGTGTGTGGGATTGACTCTAGGGGTAAACACTCTATAAGGGATGTGTACCCACTGTACAGTGTTTACCCGCAGCATTCAATAGGGGCGTTGTGTTAATGTTAGAGTTAGTGTGGGTGTAGGCGTGGTTATTGGCATACCTCAATGTGATTATTGCGATTGTAGTGCAAATTGAGCACGCGATACAATTCACTATCTCCAGCAATCAACAGATCATCGGGTGTCTTGATGCCTTCGGTGACAGCTTGTCGTGCATATTTCTCCATTTGTATGTAGTAGAATTCTCTGCAGATGCGTAGATGAGGAATATGTTTGGTTTTGGTCAGTATTCTGGTATCAGCTTGTTGGAGTTTGTAACAACAATTTTGTTTTTTGTTTTTTTTTTTTTTCTATTCTATGATGTGGGTTGGTATTTTTCGTTGGGTGGGTGGATGGTTTTATTCAGCAAGGGGCGGGAGGATTTTTTGTCAGCATTCAAATTTACAAAATCGTACTCAAAACTCAAAAATCAAATTAAAAAAAAATAAACCAAAAGTATCGGAACAAAAGAGCGAAACACAGGAAAAACAGTCCTAAATTAGTTAACCAAATTCAAAGGAAATCTCTCTTTCTCTCTTACACAACTCTCTCTCTCTCTCTCTCTCCACATATATCTCTCTGTCTCTCTTTCGCTCACTCAAGTACTTTGTTTTCTAAGAGGGTGGGGGGCTGGGTGGTCCTTGATCTTTGCTGGCTTAATGCATTATATTGGATCGCTGCTTGAATATGACATTATTAATAATTTGCTGCATACTCTTAGGCGCGCCCCAAAAGACTCCTCTCTGCTGTCTGTCGCTGTGTACTTGTGTCTCTGTGTCTCTGTGCCTGTGTGTGTGAGTGTGTAAAGAATTTTTAATAAATCTCAAATGTGCAGCGGCAGCAGCAGCAGCAGAGGCTAAAGCTGAAGCTGAAGCCTTGGCTAGTGGTGGAGTCTGTGGTGGTGGTGGTGCAATAACAATTGCAAGTCGAGGCAGGCAGTGGCGTCTTCTTATTGCGGTCGCTGCTGGAGCAGTAGGATGGCTAGGTGGGTGGGGGGGTGCCTTGGGAAGTGGTGGCTTCTACTGGGGGTTGGGGATTTAATTAGCAAGTGCAGTGTGCTGCTGGTGCTGCCACTGCTGCCACTGCTGCCGCTGCTGCTTCTGTGTCGCCTTGTTTAGTCAAGTGATTTGTGTGCGGCGGGGCCCTGCCACTCGCAGGGGGATAGTCAGGCGAGTGGGCGCAACAGAGGGTGGTGGTGGGGTGGGGTGTGGTGCTGCTGCCTTGCTTGGAGACTGTAAGTGATTGCTTGTCTTTGCCTAATGCCTGCCGGCAGCCGCCCGACTCCGACTGCATTGTGTGCCTCGCACTAATTGTTGTCTTTTTTTTTTTCTGCTGGAAAGGAGGCATCGGGTGTCCTGCCACAGCTACAGCGCTTCCCTGCTCCTGCTCCTGCCCCTGTCCCGGCCGCACTTGACAACGCTCCGATAATCGCGCTAATTTCAAGATTTCCCAGTAGCAAATGCATTTCTCATGTTGTGCGAGTGCGCTCGTGTTGATTTTTCCAAACAATAAGCGCAGAAAATGTGCAAATAGAAAATCTTTGCCGTTTGCTGGCAAGGGTCCCCAGTCCCTGTCGCCAGCTCCCCGGAGGCGGCAGCCACGCGCACTTGAACAGCAGGCGAGGAGTAGAAGAGGAGCAGAAGGGTTGGTTCTGGCTATGGTTTGGGTTTGGGGCTAGGGCTGTTGCTGTTGCTGAGGCGGGAGCTGGAGCTCCTACAATTGAAGCGAGGCATCATAATGAGGCGATGACGGCTTGGCCGGGCCAAAGAAAGGAATCGCTGTGTGACAGTTTTGTGTGACAGTTCATTGTCTCTGGATCGAGCATCGAGGGGGTGGGGTGGGGTGGGCGATTGTGTCCATAGTTATTAGGGATTGCCCTCATCTCATCTCGTTCCGTAGCCTCAGTTCTTTGTTTGGAAGGGTGTGTGTGTGGAAGGGGGATAAGTGTTTCGAGGGTTGGGACTGGGCTGAAAATTTGTTTGTTTTAATGCAATTAGCTTTGTGGCCGGGTGCGAATAAGAGCTTGAGGCGATGATGCTGCCACAGCACACGTGAGGCAGGAAAAGGAAGCTTTTGCTTTTGCTTTAGCTTTAGCTTTGGCTTTGGCGCATCTCCACTGCAGCAATATGCCAACAAGCTGCCACATGGAATGCGCCACTTAATTTAGATAATAAGCTGAAACTGCAATTGCAATTGCAACTGAAAATGGCGTCGAGGCTTGACGGAAGTGCTTGGCGCTTGCAACTAATTAGTTTTATGCTCGTATGTTACTTTTTTCGTAGCCCATTTATTTGGTATGGCAGGAATGCATCAGAGAGCCCCCGCCCCCCTCCCGTTGTGGGGGGCAGGCAAGCGTTTCCCTTTCGAGGGTGCTTCCCTCTCTATGGGTGGGTGTATGGTTGTGTGGCAGGATGTGGGCTAGGTGCCATGGCAAATATCTCTTTATGTATGTATGCGTGTGTGTGTGTGTGGGTGTGTGTGTGTGTGCATGTGTCTCTCCTTCTTCGCGTCTCCTTCGCCTTCTTTCTTCAGAAGTGCCACTCGGAAGTACAATTTACAGATACAAATACGAGTAGAGCAAGTAGAACGAACGAACGAACGGTAGAACGAATGTTTTTTTTTTTTTTGCATTTTTTTTTTTTTTTTTTTAAATTAATAAGCTCACACATACTCACCCACACATATGCAGACATCTCTACCTCATACATTAATGAAGTAATTGACAACACTTTATATGTATCTATATATAGAGGCATCTGGTATAAGTCATATACGTCTAAATACATACAGGAACATGGAACATATTTTGTTGTATGTATGTATGTATGTATGTGTAGAGGAGTGTCATAAGAGTGTGGTGTGTACCGTAAGAGTGTATATGTGTGGTTGTTGTTGTTGTTTTGTCAGCAAGATCTTTTCACGCGGCTACAGGGGGGACGGTAGGGACGGGGGAAGCGCCAAAAGGACACTTAACCTCATAAAAAACAAAAACAAAAAAAAAAAAAAAGGGGAGACGCGAAAAAAAAACCCCCAAAACACAAAAAAAAACCTTTTTTTTTTTTTTTTTTTTTTTTTTTTTTTTTTTGTGTGTGGGGCCTGGGGCCGCGTGTGGCTCGCCCGTGTGGGGGGTCCAGCTAATGCAATTATAAGTGGCCTGCTTGAGCGCCAAAAGGACACTTAACCTCATAAAAAACAAAAACAAAAAAAAAACAGAAGAGAAGAGGCTCGATGAGAAACACAAAACACGTAAAAAGAACAGCAGTATCTATGTGTATGTGTGTGTGTGTGTGTGTGTGTATGTGTGTGTGTGTGTGGGGCTGCCTGCATCCTTGAGCGCCTTTTTTCGCAGTAGGGCGCTCCGCTCTTCGGGGGCTCTTCGACGCGACTCTCAAGTAGCTGTGTGTTGCCGCCGTTGAAAAGCGGCCCAAAAGAAAGCCAACACTGGGCCCCCGCTCGCTCGCTCGAATCCTGCCTGGCAAACAAACTAATTAGCCTGCCAGGAGTGTGTCTTTGTGTGTGGTGTGTGTGTGTGTGTGAATACATGTCCTTTGGCTGCTTTCTTTTCATTATTTGCATTTGCATCAAAAGCAACACACAAAAAGAAGTTACTGCAGCTAATGCAATTATATAAGTGGCCTGCTTGAGGACCAAAGCCCAACAAAAGGCACTTTTGTTAATTAGCCAGCAGCAGCAACAGCAGCACATATGTGTCTGTATGTCTGAGTGTGGGTGTTGTGTGTGTTTGTGTGCTGAGGATGGGTGCAGCACTTAAGTAGGCAACACTTTTTAATATGCATGCTGCAAGTTTCTTAGCCGCCGTTTCACACTTTTCCAGCTCTCCAGCTCTCCAGCTCAAGTGGCAGCTCATCATCCATCCTCCCCATGACTGTGCGGGGGAAAACTGTGTGGCAAGAGGCATCTTACTCAAGTGGCAGCCTCTTCAAGCAACATGTTATTAGAGGCCACTCCATGCCCAGTGTCTGTGTCTCTCTCTCTGTCTCTGGCTGTGTATCTGCTGTATCTTTAGCTGTGTCTTGTATTTGTATCTGTGTCTGTGTCTTTGTGTGTTTGTGTGTGGGGCAAACTCATAAATGTTAACTATATTTTATATGCTGTGACTATGGCTAAGAGAGAGCTGAAAACTGTTGCAAGTATTCGTTTCCTTGGGTGGTGCTGGCAGGGATATATAGGGGCGGATATATAGAGAGGCGTTTCAAAACTAAATCTCATAACTAAAACGAAACTCAAGCTCAAAAATACAAATGGAAATGTAAGTGGAAATGTAAGAAAGGGAAAGAAAAGGAAAAGCCGTTACAAAATAATACCGACCCTAAAAGCAAACCGGGAGTGGGGGCAAACAAAAAAAGCAGGAAGTAAACAATCAGAAAGCCGCTAGCAAAATCAAAAAATATTCCCACCCATTTTAACCTCCAGGCCCGCAAAGTCGAAGACCGAAGACCGAAGACAAACGCAGCCGAAGATGATGATTATTCCCATGCAAAAGTAGTCAAAGTAGTCAGTCCTACGTGATTCGGGGACAATCCAAAGGGGTTGCTACCCCAATTGCCAAGAAATCCCATTCCAATCCCTTAATCGCCGCTCAAAATCCGAGAGCAGCGCACAGCACAGCACAGCACAGCACAACAAAAGGTGCAAGCACATTCCGACAGAGGAACATTCCCGAGCCCGAACCCCGAGCGTGCCACGCTATGATTTGTTGTCTTTTGGCATTGTACTCTTGCGCAGTGCGCAGGTAGGGAAAAACCCCAGAAAAAGGACTAAGGCTAAGGTTAAGGGAGGACGACACACACACAACTCCTTAAGACGTTGCGCATGTCTTAGACATAGCGGAGACGGTAACGCAGCAACTGCGGACGTACGGACAGCTGCTAAGCTGCCGCCTCAAAGAGGGGTGAAAACCAAAAAATCCAGGTGAACCTTTGTGCCACACTGCCACACGCTCTCTCTCTCCCTCTCTCTCTGTCTTTTGAGAGACAGATGTGGCATGGATTTGGCGCGAAAATCACGGCAATTGCTGCATGCGGGCCTGGGCCTACCTCACATCAGGAATGAAGTGAATGGAGGAGCAGCTGTCGTTTTCCCTTGCTGCTGCTGCTGCTGCTGCTGCTGCTCCTTGTGCTCTTTTTGGCAACTTCTTGCGCAATTTCATGGACATAGACAACTGACAGCCCAGGAGGGGGCACGTGTAGGAATGACAGCTGGGGTCTGGGATCTGGGGTCTGGGATCTGGGGCTTGGGGCTTCGACAGTTGATTCGACACTCGAAACTCAAACTAAAAATCAAACTCAAACTCAAAGTGAAGTCAAGAGACAAACGAAATCATAAAAATGAATGCTGTTCATAGATATATCTTCTTTTTGTTTTTTGGGTAATATATATATAGAATTAAGTAAGTAGTTATAATGTGGTTAAGGTTAAGGCATGGTGGCATGGTGGCATGGGGCAGGGGTGCAGCTTACTTACCGGAAATTCGAGAACCATTTCACCAATTGTGCTGTGTTGTTCTTGTTGAACTTGATGTCCGGGAAGTACATCTTGAGCACCGCGGAGCTCGGATAGCGCACCCAGAAGAACATCAGTTTGGCCTTGCGCAGGTGCATCGGTGTCAATGTAGAAGAGTGCAGGGGAGTCAAGGATTCGCAATGCTTGCTAGATTTGTGTGTGTAAATGGGGGAATAGAGGAGAGGGTGGGTGTGTTGTTGTTATGATGGTCGATTGTCTTTCCAAATTTCCATGTTCGTGTGTGGCAGCGAACGACAGAAAGAACGCTGAGTACGATGATGATGAAGGGGGCACAGAGTGCTGTGCTCTGCTCTGCTGCTTCGATTGGCAAATGTCTAACGTGTGGGGCGGGGGGGCGCTGCACTTTCGAGTGCCAATAATGAACGTCTAAGGGTGCCAGAAGGTAGGCAAATGTGCAGCCCGTTCTCCGACTTATAAACTGATTGAAAGCACACACACAGCCAAGAGCCCAGCCAAAAGAGGGTAACGAGTGCAGTCGATTGGCTTGGGCTTCGGCTTGGGTCTGGGCCTGGGCCTGTTCATCATTGATTTTTCCGTTTGGTTTTTCCGATTTCTCTGCTTTGCTCTGCTGCTGTTGCGAAATGCAACTCAAGCCCCCAGACCCCAGAAGAGGGTCTACGACGATGACTGCTACTAGCTACTGGCTACTGGCTACAGCTACTGGCTACGATGATGACGATGATGTGGATGTGAATGTGGCTGACTTGAGGGTCTCGCTCTCTCCCCAGAGTGGGGTTGCTGGCGCAGGTTGCCAATAAATAAGGTTTTGATTACATTTTATAAAAGAATTTAGTTGGGGAAAATAAATAAACTGAAGAAGACACTTGATTGGTTTCATTTTGTCCGTCGAACGGGTTAAGTACCTTCTCCCCATCTCTAGCCCACTCTGCTCTGTTCTCTCTCTCTCTCTCTCTCTCTCTGTGTTCTTTCTTTCGTTCTATGCCACACACACACAATATAGAACTAAGTGGAAAACTCACTTGACCATCAGCATGGACTGCTGCTCGTACTGCTCTTGTTGCTGTTTGTAAAAGGATATAGTAGGCTGCATGCCATCGAATGACATGTCCGCCGAGTTGCACTCGGACTGGCGATCCTGGGCGTCCATGACGGCCCGCAGGCAGGTCTTGTAGTCGGGCGATCCGCCGTGATGGGCGGCAGCTAGGAGGGCGGGATGCAGCATCGATGGCGGATGGGGCAGCGGCGGGGAGTCGCGCGAGTCCATCAGCGCGCCGAGGCTGCCGGGCGGACTGGAGGAGAGCTTCATCTGGTGCTGGTGGTGGTGCTGGTGCTGGTGCATCTGGGCGGCTGTCGGCTGGCCGCCCGCGTGCGGATTGAAGAAGGGACTGTAGGGCGAGAAGACCTTGGACTCGTGCAGCGAGGGATTGGGAATGGCCACCGATGTGGGCAAGGACACTGGCATCATGGGCGGCGGTGGTGGCGGCGGCTGCTGATGGTAGGCTCCTCCAGCCACTCCTCCTCCTCCGCCGCTCTGACTCCTGCCTGTCGGGCTCTGGGCGGGCGTGGCATTGCTGTTGCCTCCTCCGTTCGACTGCTGCTGCTGCTGCTGCTGCTGTTGTTGCTGCTGCTGTTGCTGCTGTTGCAGGGGAGTGGAGTTCTGCTGTCCGTTGGGCGGGACGACGCCGTCCTGGGCCAGGATGCGGCTGACGGTGCGCGGTGTGATGCGCGTATCGGTGACCTTGTGGCGCTTCTTCTTGGGCGTCACCACCAGACTGAGCGCCTCGTTCTGCTCCAGCTGCTGCTGCGTCTGCTGTGCGCTCTGCTGCTGCTGTTGCAAGCTCTGTTGCTGCTGCTGCTGTTGCTGCTGGGCGGCCTGCTGCTGCTGCGGATCGGGTGGCAGGCAGAAGGGTCCGGTCATCGAGTTGTAGAGCGCGGCGGCGGCCACCGGATTCATGCCCTGCGGCGTCTTGGGCGCCTGGAACATGGCAGCCGCTGTGGGCGAAGGACGAATGTGAGGAGGTGGTATATTAAGGGTACTTAAGCTACTGTTGTTAGTCGGATTCCCCGGGCTCTGGTTAGTACTAGTACTCTCCCCCGCCTGCTGCTGTTGCACATTCTGTTGCTGTTGGTGCTGCTGCTGCTGCTGCTGTTGGGCGGACATTGCTGCCGCTGCGGCCGCATGGTGCATCTGCAGACCCATCGCTGCCGCCGCAGCAGCGGCTGGGGAGGCAAACGACAGCTGGTTGCCATTGAGGCGGGGGGCGGCTATCAGCTGCTGGCAATTGGGGGGCATGGCATGGAGATGTTGCACATTCGGCGGCTGTTGCTGCTGCTGCTGGGGATTCTGTTGAGGTGGCTGCTGCTGCTGCTGTGGCACGTTCTGCTGCTGCTGCTGCTGTTGTTGCTGCTGCTGCTGCTGCTGTGCATTGGCCACGCTGACCACCGCTGGCGGCATTGGTGGCATTGGCGGCTGGGGGGGCATTTGACTAGGGGCTAGGAGTAGTGAACCATTATTACCTGATTGTGTGGTCGGCGTGGGGCCGTTCTGGGCTCCGGGTCCTCCTCTGTCCGCCACTTTTGTGCGCGGCGACTTGCGGTCGAGTATCTGCGATGCCAGCAGCAGATCCTTGTTGAGCTGCTCGGCGGCGGCTGTCACCGAGTCCCCCTGCTTGCTGAACAGCCTCCGCTGGTGGACGAACCGCGTCACGATCGTGTCCACAAGCGCCGACAGCGAGGTGGTTATCTCCGACTTCAGGACGTCCGCCAAGCCCTCGAGGTCCGTGCCGGACATGCGCATCATCGAGTTGTTGTTGCTGTTGCGCAGCATCTGGAATTTCTCCGACAGCTCGGACTTGAGGGCGCTGTGTGCGGCGGCTCCACCCAGTCGCGTGGGCAGTCTCGCCGGTGCCGGATGGTGCATCTGTGGGGGCCTCGGCGCCGTGGCCACATGTTGCTGCTGCTGCTGCTGCTCCATTTGCTGTTGCTGCAGCTGCTGCAAGTGCTGCTGCTGGCGCTGGATCTGCTGCTGTTGCTCCTGCACCTCCTTGCGGCGTTGCTCCTGCTGCTCCTGCTCGAAGCGACGCTGCTGCTCCTGCTGCTGCTGTTGCTGCTGTTGTTGCTGCTGCTGCTGCTGCTGTTGCTGCTGCTGCTCGGCCGCCTCCTTGGCCATGCGTGCCTCCTGCTCGAAGAAGAACTGCTGGTACATGGCCGCCGCATGCGACATGTCGCCCATGTGCTGCAGCAGCGGAGGGAAGCCCTGCGGCAGGGCGGGATGCCCCACCAGGGGATTGTGCAGCTTGCTGGACATCATCTTGGACATCATTTGGGAGAGCATGTTGGTGCTGTTGCTGGGGGCGCCACTCTCGCTCAGCGCCGTCTTGGGCTTCGGTGAGCTGGAGCCCGCCCGCCCGTCCTGTCCGCCAGCCTCTTCCTTGTGGGCGGGACTGATGTCGCCGCCGGTGAGCGTGGGGGAGGGCGACAGCTCAATGTTGTCACTGCTGCCATTGTCCTGCTCTGGCTCCTGTTCCTGTTCCTGTTCGTGCTCCTGCTCCTGTTCCTGCTCCTGTTCCTGTTCGGGGTCTATGTCCTGCTCTGCGTCCTGGTCGTTGTCCAGCTCCTGGCACTCGGACTCCTGCTCCATGCGGGTGCACAGCTGCACGTACTTCTGCTGCATCTCGGCCAGCTGCTCCTGCATGGACCGCAGCTGCGACTTGAGGGCGTTCTTCTCGACGCGCTTCTGCTGGATCTGCGGCGACTCCAGCTCATTCGACTGCTCGCTGTCGTCCTGGTCGAGCATCATGCTCTGCAGATTGAGGCCAAAGTTGAGGCCGGCGGCGGCCGCCACATAGCGCTCCATGGCGTGCTGCTGCGGCTGGTAGAGCTTGCGCTTCTTGCAGCCATTCACCTGCAGCTGACCCGCCTGGACAATCGAGGAGGGACTGCAGCGCATCCCCGAGACAATGTTCTCGACGCGGGCGCGCTTCAGCTCCATGCCGGGCTTCTTGAGGCAGCCCTGGTCGCGCTTCTGCTCCACACAGTCGTCGTCCTCGTCGTCGTCCAGCACATCGTCCTTGCTGTTGTCCAGCAGCATCATGTCCGAGTGCGAGGGCGAGGCCAGCGACTCCAGGTCCGAGCCGCGCGCCGAGTGCATGCCCAGCAGCTCCGCCTCGTCCAGCATGTCCTCGATGGACTCCTTTTTGGTGGCCAGCTGCTGCAGCTTCTGCTGCTGCTCCTCCACAGCGCTGCTCTCCCCGACTGGCGTCTCGTCCTCGCCATCAGCCTCCGCCTCTTCGCGGGCGGCCCGAACTGTCCATCGAGTCCGAGGACTTGCGTCGCAGGCTGCCATCGCTGGCCAGGCTGTGGCTGCTGCTGTGGCTGCCACTTCCGCTGCGACTGCTGTGGCTGCTGCCGTGCGGCGACTGCTGCGGCTGGGGCACCGTTTGGGGCTCGCTCTTGATCTTGATGTCCGCCATTTCCGTGTCCTCGATCAGGTTGATGCAGTCCATGTTGTTGTTGTTGTTTGTGGCTGCCACACTGTTGTTGTTATTGTTGTTGTTGAGCTTCGTGTGGAGCTGCTGCTGCTGCTGCTGCTCCTTCTCCTGCTGCTGCATCTGCTGCTGCTGCATGGCGGTGCGCAGCTCCTGGTCGAGTTGCATCAGCTCCTTCTTGCCCTGCAGTATGTTGCGCAGCATGTGATGGGCCACCAGGTCGTGCTGCAGCTGCTGGTCCCCGCTGCTGGCGCCGCCGTTCAGCGAACTCACCGAAGCCGCTCGCGGCGGCGATCCTCCGGCCACATCGGCGGCAGAGGCTGCAGCGGAGGTCGCCCCATCCAGGGAGCGATCGCTGCAGGCCGACACCCGACGACTGCTGCCGCCCTTGGGCGAGGAGGTGGCATGGTGCGAGTGGCTCGAACTGTGCGCGGATCCGGGCGAGATCGAGGCGTTCAGGCCGTTGCTCAGCGGCGTGCCGCCGCTGCCCGGAATGCTGTTGTTGTTGTGCAGCAGCAGCTTGGATGTGGCATTGGAGGTGGCATTGAGGCTGCCGACGAGGCCTGCGGCACTCAGCAGCTCGGCACTGGTGGCCGTCTCCATGGCGGCGGCCAGCATGGCGTTGTCCAGGCTCTGGGGCAACCCGCTGGTCGCGTCCTGTGCCTGTTTCATTTGCCGGCCAAAGAGCTCGTTCAGCATCTTGGCCGATGAGCCGCCGAACAGGTTGCCAAAGGCAGCCGTCAGCAGTGACGAGGCGGAGCCGGAGCCGGAGCCCGACACGGATCCGGAACCGGAACCGGGTGAATTGCTGCTGGCGACCGGCGACTGTTGCCCACCGCCCACTGCAGCGGACTGGTGGCTGGGATTGAGGCTGAGCGTGGGGCTCGTGTTGGCCGTGCTGTTGGCCTGCGGTTGGGGTTGGAACAGGGCTCCACCAGCGGCACCCGCAGCGGCCGCAGCAGCGCTACTCATGAAGCCAGCAGCGGTTGCCGTTGTGCCGCCGTTGTTGCTATTATGATTGTTATTATTGTTATTGCTGTTACTGTTGCTGTTGCTGTTGCTTGTTGTCTGTTGCTGGTTGTCTTTGCTCAAGGATCTGTGGCGCGAACGACGATTCACTTTGCTGGCACTACTACCGGATACGGATACGGATACGACGCTCGCGTTTGAAGTCTTCGAGGTGGCTGTCGCTGGCACTAATAATTTTTTAGCCGCGCACGTTGTTGTCTTGCCGACGGCCGATGACTGAATGATTTGCCGACTGCTGCGCGGGCTGCGATGGTTGCGACTGCTCCGAGTGCTGGCGGTGCTGCTGTTTGCCTTCGTGGCTGTGGCTGTGGCGGCGGCGACGGCGGCGGCTTTTCCGCTGCTGCTGTTGCTGCTGCTGCCTTCGCAGCCTTCGAGCACGACGACGACGTCGTCCGAGTCGTCCGAATCGCAGTCGTTCGGCTGCTGAAGTTGTTCCTTCTCTTTCTGTTCCTTCTCCGCCGCGCTTTTGCTCTCGCCGGAATTCGCCGTGTTGCTGCTGCCGTCGCCGTTTATCTGTGACTGTGCGTGTGTCTGCTGTGTCGGCTGTGTCTGTATCTGTGTTGGTGTCGTATGTCCGTTGCTGCTTGAGTGTGGTGGTTGCGGCTCCACGACTGCCTTCAGCAGCACGTTGCTCTCATCGCTGTACAAACCGAAACAGTCCGCGTCGTACTCCTCTGATGACATCATAAGATGATGCCAAACAGCAGCAGCAGCTCTCTCTCTTGCCACACAGCTCTCCGAGCTCTCTGCTCTTTGTCTCTGTGTGTCTCTGTGTCTCTCGCTCTCTCTCACTCTCTCTCTCACTCTCTGTGTTGGTGTTGTTTCTGCCCCTCAGCAACCCTCTGCTGCGATTTGCTGGCCTGCTCGTCGTACCCCTCCGAGTGAGTCGCCGTATGCGTGATTTCAAGTTTAAGTCTGTGGACAGATAGATAGATAGATAGATAGATCTATCTTTCGCCTCGTTTGCCTCTCTCTCTGTTTTTGTTGTATCTGTGTCTAGTCCGAGTGGGGTTTACTTGCTGGTATACGTATACGTATCTGTATACGTATCTGTATTAGAGTATTTGTATCTTTATCTGCTGTTTCTCCGCTGTGTGCGTCGTGCTTAGCTTCAGGTTCAAAACTTTTCCTGCTCGCGGCAGTCCTGGTTCTGGTTCTGGTTCTGGTCCTAGTCCTGGCCCTTCTCCTTCCTTCCAGAGATTCCTTCCCTGCTTCCCCTTGCTTCCTTGTGCGCCAAAACGTTGAAATTTTGCTTTCGCTCAACTTGTTGGCCGAAATGTTCCAGCTCAAAGTGCCTCCTCCTTGACCGGTTGACGGTTCGCTCGACAGTTCGGCGGACACTTTGATTTTGCGTCTGCGTTTTCTACGTTTTTTTCTGCGTTTTCTAATTGTGAATTTTGTTTTGAATTTTCTTCGTTCCACCACCACACACATGCGAATGTCCTTTGCATTTAATTTTTATTTGGATTTGATTTTAATTTCCCGTTTGTTGCTTCCCTTTTCCTGGTCCTGGTCCTGGTCTTCTCTCTTTCTCCGTTTTCCCTTCCAGTTGTTTTCGATTTTCTCAAAAGATTCTCAAAAAGTGTTTTTCGATGCTGCTTGGTTCGAAAATTTTGAGTCTTTTTTTTTGTCGTATTTTTTGTCGTTTTTCGTGGTTTTTATTCGTTTGGTTTTTTTTGGTTTTTTGTTTTTGGTTTGGTTTTCGTTTAATAATCCTTTGCTTGCGCTCAAAAATCTTTCTGCAAAATTCAAATTCAAGTAGAGGAAGATTCAGTCAGTTATAAGCAGTAATAAAAAAAGGGCGAATGTATGGGCGGTGGGCAGGGTGGCAGGGTGGCAGGGGGGAGGAGCTGCTTCTTAAATGGAAAGTAAAAGTGGCAGGCCAAAAGCTTTTGGTTTGGGTGCACCACTTGATTGGTGCTCGGTTTGGGGGGGTGCCTGAAGAAGGTGGTGGGTGGGTGGTTGGGTGGCTGTGAGGCTGCCATGGAAGGGGTGGCAGGGCTTGGCTTGTGGGTTGGGTCTGCTGGGGCGTGGGGTGGTGGGGTGTTGTGTCCTTAATTCAGCAGTAGCCAACCCTCTCTAACCCCCCAGACAGGTTTTTATCTAATTTCTCCACTTGAGCTTATTTTCGCCCTCTCCCTCTAGCTCTCTCCCTCTCTCTCTCTCTGTCTGTCTGTCTGTTTTTGTGGGTGTTTGTGTATGTATGGGTGTGTGGGTGGGGGTGTTCTGTCACCAGATACCCGCCCCCTTTTTCTATGCCCAAAACAGCAAACAGCAACAAATAAAGATAAGTCATTTCGTTTTCGCTGATAAACAAGTTTGACTTACTTTTCCGTGCACGCAGCAAGGGGGAGCGAGAGAGAGAGAGAGAGGGACAGAGAGCAGTTACAGATACACACAGACAGACAGACAGACAGACAGATAGATGGACAAACAGACAGATGGATAGATGGACAGACAAAAAGATAGATATAGTATATACTTTGCATATGGCCATGGGTCGAATGGAGTCGAATGGAGTCGAATGCGTAAGCACTGGAAATAATCAATAAGAGAACTTTGGAACCCACAAAACCCACAGCACCGAAATGCGTCAATCTGCTGAAGGGCCTAACTATCTATCGATCATGCCCAGAGGAGCAGAGGCAGAAGCAGAAGCAGGAGTATCTCTTGGCTGTAATTGTAGCTGCTACGAATGCTACGCATAATAATATTTGCCATTTTGGGCAGTTTCCAAGAACTGCAGCCACTCCGCACAGAATCCTCCCCTTGGACGGGGCAAGCGACGACTTTTTCGGGACGACTTCAATTGCATTGGAATGCAGGACGGGTGAGAGCAACCCGCCCGTAGGCCCAAGCCAATGTCAACAGAAGGGCCTCTCCACGCCACGCCGCGCCGCGCCGCGACACACCACTCCACCCCTATTATGCCCAAGAGCCCTGCCCTGCCCTGCCCTGCCGGGTCCTGCCTTTGGGCAACTGTACTTTCTCGTTCTCCTGCAGCTTGCAAGGAGCGTCCAGAGGGAAGAAACAGGCAACAGCCACCCCTATTTAGGGCATATATTCAGGACTTATTAAGCTGGGGAGGTAGACGGAGGTAGACGGAATTCCAATGCATTTCGGATCGAGAGCGCCGATCTTTTTGGGTTCTCTGAATATGTCAAATTTACCACAAACAAAGCCTTATTTTTCTCTGTCGTCCATCATAGATCCTCCTGCAAAGAGAAGAGAAATTAAAGTTAGTCGGAGAGTGATTTGAGGGCATAAAAAGAGTAGCTATAGATGGCTAAAGGGAGAGCCTCTGTGCCAGGCTCTGATTCGAGCCCTGCCATATGCCAGCGCACTTGAAGATTTCGCTGCATAGACAGTTGGCATTCGATGAATACTTCTCGCAAGACTTCAATGCAGAGCGTAGTGAATGCTTTCCTTACAGTTGCAGTTACAGCTATAGCTACCCAGCCAAGTATATCCTTAGATACGTCGATAGAGACACAAGTTCAATGCACTTAAGGTCCGCTGGGTCTATGGGTCTATGGGTCGTGGGTCTTGGGTCTAGGAGTGCGTTATCAATAGGCGCAGCAGCAGCAGCAGCAGCAACCCCTCGCGAGAGAGGCAGCATATGGCAGTGGCGGTGGCGGTGGTTCAAGAAACAACAAAAAGGAGCTAAAGAAAGTTGCCTGCAACTGCAACGGCAACGGCAACTGCAGCTGAGGCGAAGTTCCACCTACAAGCGGCAGCAGCAGCAGCGCAGATAATTACGACCTTAACACATTTTCCTGCTGCTTCGTACTTTGCATGCCAAAAGGGGATGAGGCATGAGTCGCAGGGGGCAGGGGGCACGGGGCACGGGGCAGGGTGTATCTCAAAGTGTGCTTTGGAATGTGCCTTCACAGATCGCGGCACACGGTAATGTACTCGTCGTTGAACGAAGTGTGGCACGGCCAGCCATGTGTTCGCATTCGCGTTCTCTCTCTCTGCCCCCCCTCTATGACTCTATCCCCTCATGGTGCCCTCCGCCTATCTCTGTGTATCTCTGTCGCAGACGGGTGTCATCATTAAAATATGCTTTGGGCGCATAGCCACAGCCACACAGTTCGACTCCAGCTCGAGTCTGGCGACACTTGGACCTGGCCACATGAAAAAGTGGGTTGTAGCAGCAGCAGGAGTAGGAGGAGGGGGCGCAGAGTGGAATTGCGTTACGGTCAAGTGACTCGGAAATCCGTTAAAACAAAAAACTATTTCTAGCTACCTCCCTTCCTCCCTACTGTCCCTGTACCAATTAGGCATTATGATTCCATGCCGCGCTCTGCAGATCCATTTCGGTAGATAATGCCAGAGAGCAGCAGAGTTTCAATGGAAATGGCAAATGGCAAATCACGATTGGAGATTGGAGCGAGGAATGCGAATACGGAACTGAAATTCAATCTGCGACCGCCAGGCCAACGCCATGGGCCCCTATATTGACGATCGCCAGGGCCAACAGCTGATAACCGAGAGACAGGGAGAGAGAGAGAGAGAGAACACAGGGGGAAAGGGAACGTGCCACAAGCACACCTGGACTCTCGTCTATGCCTCAATGCGCGTGCGCACAAGCTGGCGATCGGAGGAGTGGAGTGGGGGCAAGGAATCGAGGAAGCGAGCAAGCGAGGGGCACCCAGGCAGACGCCAGAACCAAAGGGCGTTGCATTCTAGACGGCGGTGGTTGACATTCATCCATCCATCCAACCATCCATCCAACCATCCATCCAACATTCGTATTCCCATTTCCACTCCCGCTGCACGATCCGATTTTTACCTGATCTCATTTCCTTTTTGGCTAGCAGCATTAGTAGCGAATATTTACCCTAACGGGTGATGGTGGCGTTGTCGGAAGTGGAAGTCGATAAAGTTTTGAGAAAACACCTTTCAACTTGTTTTGGCATTCATTTGCACACTGCCACAGCAGTGCCAGCAGTGCCAGCAGATTGCAGTCTCAGTTGCAGCAACAGAGAAGGAGTAGGAGAAGGGGAAGCAGGGGGGCAGAGGGGCAGGGGACTGTGTGGCGTGTTCTAATAATCCTGCCACAACACACATTAAAATTGTTGCTATGTTGCCCGCAAAAGTTTTCTGCTGGCAGCCGTTTCTGTGTGTTCGTTGCATGTTTTCCATTCCATGAGAATTGGCAGCACACAACTTTGTGAGCAACTGAAGCGAGAGAGAATTGTGCTAAAAGAAAATGTCCTTCTCGGTGTTCGCCGGCTGTGTCTCAGCTCAGGGCGAGGATTTTATGCGAAAACTTTTGCCTGGCACTTGCCAAAAGGCAACCCCTTGGCCACCCCTTGGCCACCCCCTTGCATTCATTGGGGCTTGCAATGCAGTAAACTCGAATTATTATGATTCTATTGCAGCCTCCGTTATGGCTATGAATGCCGATGTGCTGCAAAAGGAGCATGAGGCATGTGGAGGCAGGCATGCGGTCATGGAGCCATGGAGTAGGCTCCTTTTGGCTAAGCCCTCGACTGCCAGATAAGATACAGATACAGAGATACAGAGATACTCGTGCGATACATGGAAACACACTCTCAGAGATATCGGCGGGCGCTGTGCCTGGTGCTTTGCCCGCCATATGGCGGGCCATAGATACGACATTTTGGGTCTGCACTTAGCCGCCGCCGCCGTCGCCGCCGCCACACTGAAGTAGCTGCTGGGTGGGGGGGTATATCCGATCTGAGCACAAATTGTGGCAATGCATGGTGCATAGGGTATGCCTTTGGTCTACCCCTTTTGCTTTCTTGTCGTGCTGTTGCTTTTCAGACATAAGCACATTTTGTGGTCGCTGTTTGTCGTGGCTGTGGCTGTGGCTGAGTTCTGTTGGCTTTTTATTGTCTTTCAGCGCTTGATTAGATAGCACATAGATACACCGCAGACACAGACACACATACACAGGCATAGGCACAG